CGGTTCATCCTATATGAGGAAAATGTTACATGGTAAATTCCTATTTAACAGTTTCAGCAGCAAAATAGCTAGAACAATAATTTTTTAAAAAATTTTTAAAATGACTTTTGATATAATTTTCTCGAATTTCAATTCAAATTTAAATAAATGTGACCATTGTTAGATTGTAAATTTCATCCATAGTGAAAATTATTACAGTATTTGAATTATTTGCTGCTGTCAATTTTAAATCATAATCATATTAGGGACAGTGGAGTGAAAGTGTCAGCTAGATACAGAATCAAATCAAATAAATAAATCTGGTTTAAATATCTAAGAATTTTTCAAGCATTCTAATATAATATATTTTCAATCCGTTTCAAGAAGGAATAATGTATGAATTAGAAATTTTTAAAGAAATATCTGCAAAGCTGATAGTGAAATAGATGGATAAATTTATAAATGAATTAAATTTCGTGAGATGCAGATGTAAAATGTCCTAAATAAATAAATAAAAATTTTTATAAAATTGTGTAAATCTGGTCATAATTTTGATATTTACAATCTCATAATAATTTTGGATCATGAATAGACTATTAATTTCAAAAACTTTTCTTGTGGCACTAAAATTAAAAAGAATTAATATTTCACACAGCATGATTATTTTAGTAACAGATTATTTACGAAATGAACAGATGGACATATTCACTTTCTGAGCAAAAATTATTATTATTTACCACCTGTTTTTCTTCTCTTTCTATATGTTTATTTAAGCTTTTATATTTTTATATATTTGTAACTTTAGAAATAGGATTTAAAATGAATTTTACTTTTTAAATTCAAGAGAAAATCAAAAAATTTGAAAAAGCTTTTCTTTTTGATTAATTAAAATTCCTCAAAGGCATAGGAGAACAGATTTTTCCTTTTTCTAATGTTCGTCACAAAATATTTATAAGAAATCAATCCGTAAGATGACAGTCTTATTCAAATAACCGCTATCTCTAGAGACTATTTCTGTATAGTTCTTTCAAAAAAATTATTTTTTAAATACAAGGAAAAAGAACTGTGAAAAAAAATATTTTCAACCATATAAGTAAACAGCTTACAGGGGGATCTCTCGTGTAAAAATTCAAGCAAAAACTTTGTGTATACTTAACTTTAAAAAATTCGTTGAAGGAAAAGCAACTGTTACACATTTTTATTCGACATTGATTACTTTCAAAAATATTTAAATTTAGCTTAAAATCACAAAGCCTCGAGGTTCAAAATTCCAAACGCAATTAAAGTTGTATTTTCTCAGAATTTAAATACAACTGAATTTTTCCCTTTTTTTCCCTTCTCTTCTGTGCATTCCTCTATACGTGGAAAAGTGGTGTGACAGAAAAAAAAAGAGGCATTTTGATTTTTAATTTGAATTAATTAAATACTCGACATTTCATTCCTGCTGCATAGCAACAGCGCTAAACGGTAATTTTGTCTTCCAAAAAAGAAAAAAAAAACGTTGAATAAAAATAAGGAAAAAGTAAAATATATTTTTTAACTCTGCGAATAACTCTTTATAAGTTGAAAAACAATAAATTTACCTAACTTTTGGGTTTTTGTACAGGAATATTTAGGAAAATTCAGCTTTGGAACAGTAGTGTTAGTAATTTAAACGTTAGGATGCAAGGATACTGACGGAAATATCCAGAAATCCTTCCTTGGATATAAAGAGAGTTAGTTATCTTTTAACTTAACTTAGATTAAAAGTATTTTCTTTTTCTGATGTTTTTTTGGGAAATTGCGTTCGTTCTTGCTTTGCAAAAATGGTTTATTATTAAAATGGTTTCACTTGTAATTTCGTCATTTAAAGTGGAAAAAAACAAGAAAAGAATATTTATGCGAACTATTTAATGCAGCGTTTCTCGAAGTATGGGGCGTGATACCCAAGGGGGGTGCAAGCATATTGAAAATTCGAAAACAAAAGGTTTTTTAAGAAAATTATTAATTTTTATAGAAAATAAGCAAACAAAATACATTCTAATATAATTAAAAATAAAATACACATTTACACTGATATAATACGCTTATAAATGAATCAGTACTGCACATTGTATTTTATTACTAATTTAACAATACTAAGTTAAGAACAAGTTAAATAATTACCAGTGACCCCATAGGCTTGTTATATAAAAATTATATCTAAAAATTGATATTTATCTTGATAATTTTTTTTACGATTTATAATTAATCCCTAAACTGCCGACTAAAAGTTACGCGATTTAATCTCCAATGCCACCGTTGTCCACGTAGATACGTGTATGTGATATATTGGAGGGGGAGAAAAGGAATTAATAAGCAAATACTCTGAAATACGTAAATCCTTCGCAAACACTGTCAAGGTTGTTTTATTGTATTCCAAAGCTTTCGGAATAATTTTATGAATAACAGTGCACGGAAAAGATCGTACTTCGGAAAGACATATATATATAACGGCTGAGACAATTAACGCTTTGGCTGAGCGAGACATTTATATACACTGGTGGCACTTAAGAGGTTAAAGCCGTATTGTAGATTTAGCGTCAAGTATAGCATTACTTAATTTAATACATTGTGTTGTATGGAGGGGGACGCGAGGAAAATTATGATTCAATATTGGGTCGCAAATAGTGAAAGTTTGAGAAGCACCGATTTAATTAATGGTCAAGTAATGCAGTTTCTTTTATTGCCCTCCCTTACAATATTACAATATTATACACAGGGCTAAATTTTGAATCACTTATTTAAATAAATGAAGCCCAGTGGCTGAATGGTTAGTGCATCGCTCTTCCCCACCACAGGTTCGAGGTTCAAATCTCGGCTGGGCAAGGTTGACCCACCCTTTCATCCCTTCAATGAGTTTATAAATGAGTACCAAGAACTTGTTTGGGAACTTACCACTGAGAGTTTGGCGTCAGACTGACCACCTGACAGGAACATCTGATCATGCATCTCAGGGCCCAAAGTCACGTATACCGAGTTGGGCACACTAGGCCTTATCCCTCATGGGCTGGAACGACACTGAGCTAAGTTATTTAAATAAAGAGAGGAACAAACTATTTAAAATCCGTAAATATTTTGGATTTTTCTCACTAAATCTGCATAAACACGTTTCATTTATAAAACTCATACTTAGAGTAAATTTATTTTCATTCCCAAAATCTCATTCTAACTTAAATTTGTTTTACATCGTGTTTATAAATAAATTTTATTTGGGGGAATTCTCTCTCTCTCTTAAATATTTACTTCACAATATAAACTCTCAAGGGGGATTTAGTAATTAACTCTGTCACAATACGTGTCATAACATAAGCTGCAAAAAAAAAAAATCCGAAATTACTAGTTTTTTTCGCAAAAGGTTACACAACGGGACAATGACAACCAGTTTTTAATTTTGAACTGTTAGATGAGGAAGATAAATCCTGACTAATACCTCATTTGCTAAACTTTTACACCACGCCATGTGAAGGGTTTGTTATGGTGTTTAAAAAAGCATACAGGGACCCCTAAAGTTCCAAAAATATTTTCAAGATAAAAACAAATTTAATAACTGGTTTTAAACAGTTAGTCACAGTAAAATTTTTACATGAGATTTTACCAAAATTTAGTGTTCCTCACGATAGTCTTTCGTCAATTCAAGCTCACAGATCAACCCCTTCATGACTCATTTTATTTCTGGATTAAGGATAAAAATGGCAATTTTTTATGCATATTTTTAAAAATACACATATTTTAACACATATTAGCATCATTTGCATACAAAATTTCTTGAAAATTAACGTAAAAGAATCTATTTAAATAAGTAATATACCTGTAAAGTTGGCTTTCTGTATGGCAGGAATCATTAGACTTAGGAGTCAATTCACACAAACTATTAATGAACAGATTGGAACACCTAGCTTTTATCTAGAATTGTAAATTTTACTTACATCCTTTGCATTTACCTAAATGATTACGAAATCTTTAATCAAAATTCGATCGTGTTTGATAATTTCGAAAACACGGTATTGCACATATAGCCCAATATCGCAATCAGGACAGTAGAGAGAGAGGATTTTGTTTCTCTTCTTCCCTTTTTCCCCCTTTTCTATCTCTCTTAATGGCAAATAACACACTGTCACGTTGGACTAGTTTTCTTCTTTGTTGGGGGAATGGAGTCAACACAAAGTTACTTTCAGACAGGCGTGAAGGGGAATGCTCAAAGAAGGAAGTCCTCTTTTTCCAGAAAGTTCCCCCAATATGTACTTTTTAATTATTCGAAACCATAAAAATAACATGCGAAATAACTCGGGAAAGATCTATTGTGTACAGAGTAAATTTTCACAGTGCCCGAGCTACACTCGGGATGAGTCAGCATGGTTCGTTTCGCAGGAAAGTGGTTAATGTGAATATCATTGAACTCCTCGAAACCCAGGATATTAATTAATTATTTGGAACCACAACCAAAAAGTAAGAGGGATATTATTTTTATGCTTATTTTGAATCAGCTTTGAATAAACATAAATAACACTTTCATAACAAGTGTGTATGTCAACTGAATGTTATTTACTGCCATCTACTCGCAGTCATTAGATGAAGAGAAGGAAAGGAAATAATAAGTAGTAAAAAATACACCAAAATTCATAGACAATAATTTTGTACTCTAGCCCAGTGATTTCCAACCTTTTTATCACTGCGGACCGATCAAAGTTTGATAATTTTACCGTAGCCCACTAAGGTGGGGGAAACGCTGATTTTTATTATTTTATATTGTTTTGATTTAACTTTAATTTAATTGTATTTAAACATGCCTTTAACCCTTTCGCAGCAATGGCTAATAGGTATAGCCATATATTAAAAATTTTTCTCCGTGCGGGTGATGGATATTTAGTCTATCTACATGCGTTAATTGAAGCTAAAACACATAAAAATTAATACATATGGCAAGACGATACCTTTTTAATAAATAATAATTAAAAAATAATTAATAAAAAATAAATAATAATTGGAGGTAAAATAATAATTGGAGGCACGGGGTATCGACCCGGACCTCTCGTATGCTAAGCGAGCGATCTACCATCTGAGCTACGCCCCCAGGCCACACCTGTGTTATTGTAAACATGCTCGCCTTAACACCTAAACAAGATAGTTACAGTAACTAGGTCGATATCGGAATATAAATCGGCAAAACATGCATTGTCATCTAAACTAAACGTGTATACAAAATTTCAGCTCAATCGGTTGAAGACATCAGCTTCAAAATTGAGTTGCAAGATTTCACCCGAACAATTTACATTGCAAGTTAAATAAAAGCTTGTAAAAAAAGTATTCGTTACATTTGGGAAAATATGCTTAAATAATTATTCAAAAAAACGCAGTGAAGAAATTTTAAGCGTGAAGTATAACCAAAAATTGAAGAAATTTAAGGCCAATTAAATTAATGTTTGTTTCTATATTTTTCTGTTTTATTTATTTAAATATTCAATTATCAATTCGCATGCTGTTCATTGTACATGATGTCTTTGTAATTTTTTTTTATACTACATACATTTTATGAACATGTTTAATTGTTCACATAACTATTATTTGAAGAAAAATTATTTATTTATTTACGTCATTCATTTAAATTATTTTCATAAAGATTTTAGCATTCAAAATATGTAAAATGTTATTTTTTTAATTTCAAAACATTTGTTTGATTTTTAGATATTTTACCATAGAATAATATTGAATTTTAATGCATATGCATAAAAATAATGTATTAATAGTTTAAAAAATATCTCAAAATGCAAATGCTTCAAAATTTGAAACTAATCAGTAAGTTGCCTCATTAATGATATATTCCTTGAAAAGTTTTTTTCCGGTTATTTATAGGTAAGTGTATTTACTAATGTATATATATTTTTAACGTCCTATATTTGCTATATAATTATTATGGTGTCTAAACTGTTCATGTCGTATGCATTGTTTATGTAATAATATGCCTCAAATACTTTACTTTTCATATTTCTTTAAAAGTAAATGTTTCTTTTTTATTTTATTGGATTGAAATTATTATTATATTGAATATTGAATGAATGAATTATTTTAATTGCATATTTTTAACGTATAATCTAGAACCTATTTTTACTATATAATTACTATGGTGTCTAAAACTGTTTGTCATTTCTATACTTGTATATATTTTTGCATGCATTTTTATTTTTTATAATTCTTTCTTTTTTTATGATTTATTGATTCTATGAGCATAAAAAATGTCATTTCACATGAAAAAGGAACTCCAGCAAAATGTTTCTAAATTCACATGATTTTGTTTATTAACATGCCTCTAATGCTCTAATTTTCAAATTTTCTTTGCAAGTAAATGTTTTTTTATTTTATTTTTTATTTTATCTGATAGAATATATTTTACATTGAGTCACATTTTTTTTATACTGTTAGGAGCTTTTCATGAGTGATTTTGTCCCTTTTCCCGGGAAAATATTAGGCATCATTCTAGCGTATTAATACATAACTTTCACCAAAAAATATTCTAAGTGAGAATTAAAAAAATAATCAATATAAATGCGGAAATTTTGATCTATGACATGAAAAGAAATAAACGTTAAAAGCTTTATATTCCTCACAGAGCGAATGCGCGTAGAAAAGCTTTCCCTCCTTTCGTGACGTCATCAAAACTGTCGAGGCCTGGTCCTTTCAAGATGGCCTTGATTGGACGCGTTAGACCTGTTATTTGCCTTCTGGTTTCCCGGACTTCAATCACTTGGATTTTATCTTCTGGGGCTACTTAAAATTGCTTGTATATTAGGTGTCGGTGGCTACAGTGGAGGAATTTGCGTCATGGATCGTCATCTCTTCAGCTGACATCGCCAGCATACGGATTTCCTTGAAGGAGTATGACAATACTTCATCCGTCGGTGTCGGCTGTTCTAAGATTTACGCGGCCGCAAACTTCAACCAATTCTATGATAATCACATGTCGTTGCATTTCTGACGTCGAGCTGTGATGCATTGTTCCTATTATAAGCATCCATTACGTCCAATAAATGTATTTCTTACCTCTGAATGCAAGTTTTCATTCCACTCGGCATCACATCCTTCATCACTCTGTTTACAAATTACTCCGACTAAACGCGGCTAAACCATGTTGCTTATCACAAGGTGGATTTTCTTTCAATATTATAGTTATTGGGGTTTTTTTCCTCATTTTTATGAAAAACAATATACTATTCATTGTGATGTACAATTGGTGTTTATTCATGTGAATATATCGATAATGAATTAGTTTGGGGTAAAAATAAATAGTTTTTTATGTGATATTAATATTTTTCCTGATTACTCTTAAGGTACCTAACTACATTCGGAACCGAGATTTTACAAAAGCTTATAAATGGATACTATTTATGATATTTAGTGTCACTTAGATTAGAAAATGTGTATAAAACTGTTTTAAGAATAGTATTATAATAAAAAATTATTTAAGTACAATAGTTTGACAAAACTGAACATAGAATGACCCATTTTCAAAATATTCCCCCTTTTGTGAAAAATACTTCTATTATAATAATATTTTGCCTGTATATAGCTCAGACCTCTGTACAGAGGCTCAATTAGAATTTTTGAAATATATAACTTAAAAGTGGGTTTATCCATGTTTTACGACAACAGAGGGGAGACATTTTAAGAAAAAAATGCCGATAATTATTTCAATGGGTTGTAACTCTGAAAATAATGTGTATTTTTTAAAAAAAAATCGTAGTTGAGCCTCTGTAAAGAGGTCTAAGCTATATACAGGCAACATATTATTATAATAGAAGCACTTTTCACAAAAAGGAGAACATTTTGAAAAAAGGTTATTCTAAATTAATTTTTTGCCGAAATATTTTATATAAATAATATTTTTGTCAAAATGTCCTTAAAACAATTTTATACATGTATCCTAATCTAAGTGACACTAAATATCACAAAAAGTATCCCTTTATGCGCTTTTTTAAAATCACGGTTGACTAAAACTAAAGCGGTTCAGATTGAAGTTGCACCAGTTATAGCGTCTCTGATCATCCTCTCCCATTCTATTAGATGTCGCTTTCCTGTTTTGGTGGTTACGAATCAAATAAATATGCATTTTAGGCCCTCTATTTTTAACATTCCTTTACGGAAGGTGTCTTTCTTTTCTAAATTGATGATGATGAACAACTTTGTAGTTTACTTTTTTCATGTATCTCGTACTATTTTTAAAATAACGCTAATTCGAAATTTATCCTCCTCTAGGTGTCAATGTAAGCAGATTTTTTTCATTCTTTTTTTTTTGTAGCTCATGGTAACTTTACAATACCTAATCCCCACTTTTATGACTATAGCTCTTGTTATTCATAAATTATTGGAGTAACAATGGACTTAAACGGGAAAACTGTATAAAAATACGTATGTGCGCGAACAATTTAGTGATTGTTTTATAATATACATTTGAAATGAATGAATTAAATAACGAGAAAAAGTATTGCAAAGGATTCCCTTTTCATTTTAAGTTCATCACACCACATGATTTTTTTTGGGAAAGGATCACGCTTTTTTTCATTAAAAATTTTCCTTTTTCCCCGGGGGCCAAATAAATGGCAATTTTTTCCAACCAACACGAGAAGTAAAACGTGAAGGAAAGAAAATTAGGAAGTTTTTTTAAATAACAGGAGAGTCCCGGGGTGACATTTGGGCAGTGTTATGTTAGATCGTGTGGCAAGTGGGGAAGAGCATTTAAAGAAGTTAAGTGACAGTAAAGGGGTTTCCCCGGTGACAGAGAGCCCTTGGGGTCAAGGTGTTTTTCCCCAAGGTAAACCCCGCAATTTCTTTGGGCTAGATAAGGTTTGGGAGATTTTGTTGGATATTAAGATAGGAGTGATCATTCAAATATTGGGATCTGTGCCCGGTTTGGGAAATTGAGTTTAGGAAAAGTAATTTTTGACAGTGGTCCGCGTTACGTTATTTCTGCATTATATATTGTGTTTTTTACCCAAACCGTAGATTTTCTCACATATCATATTATTATCTAATCTGTTTTGGTTTGGTTAAGATCTTAATAAAGTAAATTGGGATTATGGCAGCTTCTTGTTCTTCATTTATTCCTACACCCTACCCTTCCACGCTGAAAATCAGGAGAAGGGCCCCCAAAAGGGTGCCCTTACACTTTGAAAAGTTTTTAGTTTTTTTTAAATAAAGTTATCTTACCTGTAGCTGTGCTCCCAAATACCTTTTGATGGATACAGGTACCAAGCCATAATTGTATCAACCATAAACACTATAATTCTGTTTCTATCAAAGGCTTTCAGGTGAGTGATTTATAAATTCACAAGTAACCAGAGGGATATTTTTCTTTCTCCAGGACTTAAACATCTTTGTTAAATACAGGCTAAATCCCGGGATTTTCCCGGAAAAATGTCCTTGTGTTTTCAAAACGTCCATTCTTCTCTTCAAACCACACAATGCTTATTTTTTCACTCTCTTTCTTTCCCAATACTGCTAAAAATCATTAAAATTCATTAAACATTTATTTTCATTGTTATCTTAGCAAATTATGGAGTTAGAGTAGCTTGCTAAATGCGCCATTGCGCCAATAAAATCAACCAACCAACTACGGATCCTATTTACCAAGTTACTGAAGATTATAAGAAATTTAGAGAGATGAGTGTTTATTCAGAGAGAAATCTTGTTTTACACTTGAACAATTCTTGAAAACGAGCTTTCATGTTATCTAAGGTTCTCAATGCCAACTTAATACAACAAAAATTGAATCTTTAAAAACGTAAGTTTCAAAACACTTTGCCGTATAAGATTAAATTTAAAATCCTTTTTTTTTCAACTTATAACCTTTATTACTTATGTAATTGCTAGTTATAATGTCAAAGTATTTACACAAATATTTTTCTTAAACATAAATTATGTAAGCATTGAAAGCTGGAATGTAGCATTATAATGCTCTTACAAAATATAAGTATCATGGGTATGCAGAAATATAAATGTTCTGGGGAAAAACACTTATGCTTAGGGAAAAATACTTCGTGCAACGTTTAAACTCTTCAAAAAGCAACACTTCTTACAATA